GAGCTGATTTTGCCTCAGATTAAACTCCACTTCTCAACTTCAGTGTAAATTACAGTAAATCTATATTCGATCTAGACTTGAGTTTAGTCTCTCCTCTTTTCTCACCGTCCCTCTGCATTCGACTGTCGAATTAAGATGGTATTTGCTCAGCACAGTCCTTAAAGGATTGTTTGTTCTCAATCTACAGTCAAAATTGAAGTCTTATCAGCCAACTCGCAAGGAGCAGATTATCATGGAGAGCGGTAATATTTGGGGTTTGGGAGTTTCATCACTTCCTGCAAACTCAGTCGAGCAGAGATTGTGGAGTGATGATAATAACTATATCCCAGGTGGAATTAAAGTCTTGTGGACTAAGGACCTGACTCCACCTAGCATCACAGCCGGTTCCTATCAGATGTGACTTACCAGTGACCATGATTAGCCAGTAGCAGGTTACGTTACTGCTGCACAGGTTGCAGAAAAAGCATGTTGTGGCTTTAAGGCAAGCTAGATTATTATTACTATATTTGCAGGTGTTGGAATTTAAGATATCTTTAAAAGTATTGAATTTAGTTTCCTCAGTAAAAAGTTTTAAATACAGTTAACAAAAGTCTTCTATCTCTGGCCTGCTGTAGGTTGTAACGTTAATTCAAAACTGTATCTGTGTGTGGTTGTGTGCTGTCGGTTCTCAGATAAAACTGTGCTGCAGGAGGTTGTACGGTTCTTTTGTTGAGTTTCACTTTGCAGCAGCACTGTCACTGCTGCTACAACAGCAGCAGCTTGTTAGTGTGACTGTCAGTGTAAAGTCAGCAAAAACTTGAGGGGAAGTGAATAAACAGAAAAAGACTTTAGTGGTTAACGGTTGTATAGATTTTGACCATGAACATAGCAACAAACAACTATCTGCTGTGATAGTTGATGGAGTAACGGTGTCCGTAGCAGAGAATGAAGTCACACTCTCTCTCTGTGTTATAATGCTGTGCATGTAGATTCCTCCCATTGAAATTGTTTGTTATCCCAGCTCTTATGAACAAACTGAGTGTGACCTTGAGCAAAAATGCAGTGAGGAATGTTCAGCTCGTGCTCTGAAAACCGAAGAATTTAAAAACAGCGTATTTTAGTTATGTCATTTAACCAGTTAAAGTGCACTTGTTTGATTGCAACTCAGTGTTCGTACTGCCTTAAAACCTCTTAGCAAGCAGTCGGCAACGGTGGGACGGAACCAAAAACCCCAGCAGAACCAGACTCAGGAAAGGCGGCCGTCTGCCTCGACCGGTTGCCAATGTTACTCGACAACAAAAGCCATTTGGTGTATCTTACAACGTTGTATTTGCTTGCATGAGCTAATAATTGCCTTTCTGGTAGTAAAGGAAAATAAAGCAATGGTGGAGTGAGATGCTGATACTGTAGCATCATCCAGCGGTTCCTAATATTGTACAGCCATCCTCAAATTTATTCATACCCTCCCATTAAAGAAGGAAAAAAACAGCAGTCACTGAAATAAGCTGAAATTGGCAAAAGTTATAAAAAATAAAAATTTAACGAACATCACGACATTGTCTAAATTGTCCGTAGGTCTGAATGTGAGTGTGCTTGGTTGTCTGTCTCTAAGTGTGGCCCTGCGATGGACTGGTGACCTGTCCAGGGTGCCCCCTGCCTTTGCCCTAAGTCAGCAGGGATAGACTCCAGCCCCCAGCGACCCTAGTGAGGATTAAGCGGTGTATAGATAATGGATGGATGGGATTATGACATTGCTTTTGAATTGTGGTTCAACAGAAATATTAAAAAAATATTTTTAAAACACACAAGCAAACAAGCATGATGGGACCCGTAAACTAATATTTTGTTGAACAATCCTTTGAGCCAATCAGTGCAGTCAGGTGTTTTCTGTATCTCTCAGTCAGACTTTTGCACCTGTTGACAGGTATTTGGATTTTGGTCCACTGCTCATCAGCAAAGTGCTCTAATTTGTCTGGGACCGTTTTTTTNGTGCTTGGTTGTCTGTCTCTAAGTGTAGCCCTGTGATAGACTGGTGACCTGTCCAGGGTGTCCCCTGCCTTCATCCTAAGTCAGCTGGGATAGACTCCACCCCCCTGCGACCCTAATGAAGATTAGGCGGTGTATAGATAATGGAAGGATGGGATTATGGCATTGCTTTTGAATTGTGGTTCAACAGAAATATTAAAAAAATATTTTTTAAAACACACAAGCAAACAAGCATGATGGGACCCATAAACTAATATTTTGTTGAACAACCCTTTGAGCCAATCACTGCAATCAATTTTTTTCTGTAACTCTTAATCAGACTTCTGCACCTGTTGACAGCTATTTGGATTTTGGTCCACTGCTCATCAGCAAAGTGCTCTAATTTGTCTGGGACTGTTTTTTTGTTTTGTTTTGTTTTAATTCTTCTTTTCAACCACAATTCAAAAGTAATGTCTTATTTCACTAAAATATAATTTAACAAATTTTTATTTATTATTACTTTTTTCAGTTTCTAGTTATTTGAGTGACTGTTGTGAATTGTGCCTTTTTTTTTTTAATGGAAGGGTCTGAATACATTTGAGGACGACTGTCTACAGCACATTTTTCTAATCGCTTATCTGGAGCCACTTTTACAATCATGAATTTTGCATTCTGTTACATTTCTACTACTCCTTTTTTATAAAAATGTTTTAAAAAGTTAACTTAAATTCACATCCCTGTTGCCAATCGATGGATACATTGTGCAGAGTTTAGAGCATCTTGTGCATCGATGTTGTGTTCAACTAACGAAACAAGCTCAGAGGCGAAAAGAGTTTCTTCTTGTTCTACTCTTTTGTTTTAGATGTATGGATTTTTGTATTGATTATGTTCATTCATTTGGACTTACCTACCGTACTGTTTGCTGCACTGCTTTTCTGTACAAGTATCAGCCAACAGCATTATCTCCTCCACCTACTCAAGGCCACCGCTAATGTATCAAAGACGCTTTACAGCACACAGCAGTACATGTGTAAACCGCATAACATTGTTTTCTGACTTTACCTTGACCTCAGCGAAAATGGTCCCTCAATTGATAGGATCTAAAATACGTATAATGATACAAGTTCATAAAACAGCCATTGTTTGGAGGCTTTTTGTTCCATATCCTGGAATTCCAGCCCACTTTGAAAGGCCTTTTATGACACACCTATAAAAGCAGCAGGGAGCAGCTGTATCGGTGAGAAATACTGCCTCACAATATTCCTACCTTTTCCTTCCATGCTGTTTTCTGTTCAGAGCAGCTGTGAGCACATAAACGCTCCAAGTTTACAAACCATGCAATGCAATGACTCGGTTCTTCATCAGCAATCAGTTTTCTTTTTTTTTTTTTATAAGTGACAGGCCTCCAGTCTAAAGGCTTCTGCTCGCTTTCCTCAGATGCAGAGTCATGCTTTTTGTTCTGCGCACTTCATCTGTAAACGTAGTAAAAGTCAGGCAGGGAAGCCTCAAGGTGATTGTTCGGCAGCTTTTATGGTTCCTTTGCTCCTGTAATCTAGCAGATGGATCAAAATGTCTCTGCATCTGGTTCTCGCTGGCAGTACCGAGATCAGATCCAACATCACATCTTACACTAACAACAGCTGCTGGTGTGTGTGTACAGAGCCTTACAAATCTCCGACAATATCTGTCTTTGTGTTCGAATAAAGGTTTAACTGTGCATGTAAAGCAAGGAAATTCTGACAGCTGGTGTTTTGTGTTCATACTCAGATGATAACAAGGAATTTTCTGACAAGACCGCACGAATTTACTGTCAGCCTGTTTAGAAGAAGTATTTCCATTCTGTGAAATAAACTATTCACACTTGCATGCATTATTGTAGATATTCTCACCAGAATCCTGCAGTCGACTGCTGTTTTTTATACAGTATTCTACATTTGTCAAGGTGGATGAAAAGTTAGTTATGATAAAATTAAAACTTAAAGACACTAAGAGAAACTATCAATGTAGATGATAGTCCTGAATTTTTTGTCACAACAGTTTAAAGAGAATTGGCATCTCAATTGCGCAGAGGAGTAAAGAAGTTTTAGTTTTTACAAAATCTGGTGGAAACAGTTTCTTTTTGACAAAAATTTAACAATTTTGATTAACTATCAATTTAAAGTTTATATTTGATTATTTTTCGCTGCGGAACTGCACCACACACATTGTTAGTTAGTTGGAAAGTCGAAAAGCCGATGATTTCCTCTGTTACTACAGTTTCCGACTGTGATAATGGTGTCATTTTGGTGATTTCTTTTCATGGCTTTTTTTTAATCCTCTGTCAGGTTTCGGGGGTTGTGAGTATTCGATGCAGCAGGATGGTGTATGTTGAGTCAAAATTGTGTGTTCATGGTAATAAAGGGAACAACACTGCGGCTCATTGATGTGTTTTAATAGGTTTTGGACAACAATGGAGCTCTGTGGCACAGAGGAATAACGCCTTTCAGGCTTTGATACGCAGACATAGGGTACATTCACTGTTGCTTTGGCTCTGCATATGAGATTTGTTGACATTAAAAAAAAACAGAATATTTCCCAACCTTATTTTTCAAAGCAACTATCAGCATGCTGCATCAGTTTAATCTTATGCTGGAATCTGTTCTTCTTTTTTTTTCCCCTCCTCCTTACAGACCGGTCCCAGGTGCCAAACCAAACACAGCCTCGCCTCCGCCACGAAAATGACCTTCTCCTGGCCCCTCCACCCTCTGAGGAGGCAGCGGCTGACAGCCTATTTGCACTAAAGAGACTTTGGCTGGTGAACCACAGAGCTGTCGCACATACCAGAGGAGGACGAACTCAAACAGAACTCGTACCAGTTCAGACTTCGAAATGAAACCGTACCCCGCTCTTTTCCCCCTCGATTTTGCCCCCCACCCCCTTGTATCCTCCTCCTCCTCCTCCTCCTCCTCCTCCCAGCGTGCTAACATTAACCACGACGACGCGGTTTTGCACGGAGGCCTTGCAGACTGAGACAAGTGTTATCGCTGGGGGACGGTCACATTTGCCAAAATCTTTTTTTTTAAGATTGTTTTTTTTTAATCTGTTAATGCTGTCCGTGTATGAAAAAAAAAAAAAGCATTTTGTAATGAGCGTTGTTTTGTTTACAGTTTGTTTCATGTCACGTTTTATGATTTGTGTTATGTGCCAAAGAGGTCTCTTCATACCTGGGGTGTGTCCCGAACGCTTGAAAACCTTCTTAAGTTCAGCACAAGTCACCTCCTCCATATTTTTAGGTCTTATAATTTATTGTATTATATGAGGAATGTCTGAAGTACAAACCCTGGACATACGGACGCCTATCAGGAGGAAGGAGAGCCAATCACACAGCAGCTTCTTATCAACACTGTTTACATGGTGGAGGGCTTGATGGATGCTTGGGGCTCGCAGGACACACCCCGGTCGCTCATGTTGATTTGAATGTCTTTTGCTGTGTGTTATGACTTTTGAATGGTTACATAAAATATTTTTACAAAACTATCAACAGGTTTCTTTTTTTTTTTTTTTGTATTCCAGCTTGAACAGCATTTATATGTGATGTAAACAATGTGCATATGATTAGCTGGGTTTTCAAATGTGGCTTTTTACATCATATGTCTAGAAAATGTACAAAAGACAATGCAAATACATATCTTAGAATTTTAGTAAAAGTTAGGAGTTGGTGCTTAAAAGCTTGAAAAGGTCTCCTCATCGGTCTGCACAGATCTGATGTTTTCCTCAGTTTTTTTTCGTCTTCCCAGTGATCACATTCAGCATTTATTCACTAAGTCTGTCTCCATTGCATTTAGTTGCATTTTGCTTTCATCTATACCCTGATTTTTTTACATCTGAGCCAACTTCAAAACTTTTTATTAGAGGTGATGTTTCTCAGACTTTCTGCAGTTTTCTAAATTTCCACCCAGGGTTTTGTTACACCTCGTTTCCCCAGAGTTTTCTTTTGTGTCCGTAGACCTTGCCCCCTAGTGTTCAACACAAAAAAACGCAATTCTGAAAAGATGGATTAATTAATTGCCTTCACGGACGAGAAGCTTCTTTTATTAGAGGAGCTTAACTAGAGGAGCTTTCTATAGTCGCAGAAAATAACCCTAATAACGTCATCATGATGTCTTCAGGGTTATCTGAGCTTGGGCTGAAGGAATGTAATTTTAAAGCAGAAAACCTGAATAAACAGTGAACTTGGAGTCTGCAAGACGGGGGATGTTTTTAACCTTAATAGAAGAAATATTCTCTGCGTGGACAATGCATTCATTACATCAATTCTCTACTTCCTGTGAAAGGTCTGTGGGTTTGTTTGTTTGAAACCTCCCCATTGCAAATACTTCAGTGCAGGTTGGTGGTATGCAGGGTCAGTGCTGGAACAAATTAAACTGATGGGCCAGTGTGTGTTTGCAATGTAAATAATACGCATGTTGTTCTCTGTTTATATCTGGTGCATGCAAGGGTTCTGAGCGCACAGCTACCTAACACCAAAGAGTAAACAACTAGTGTCCTGCAGAGGTTGAATGCCAGTGCAACACTATGAAAAGAGCTGGCAGGAAGACGGGAGGATCTTCAGTTGTCTTGCTTGAGTGCACTTCAGTGGAATAAAGGTATATGGTCTGCGCTCATATCGCACCTCTTAACCTTAACTAGGTTTTTCAAAGCTTTACATGTCTCTCATTCACACACACACACAGTCTATGACAGCAGAGTTGCCATGCAAGCTGCCATCATTGGCAACTCAGGGTTCATCGTCTTGCCCAAGGATGCTTCAGCATGTGGAGGGGCCAAAATGGAACCACAGTCCTTGAGATTAGTGGGCAGCCTGCTCTACCAACTGAGCTATTTGATACCAGCTCCTGAGGTCGAAGAGCTAGAGTGCAGTTATACAACTCTACAGTAAAGAATAAAAACAGGACAGCTCTTACCGAAGACTTTAATCATTGTAGTGTTGAAGGCTCCTCGTGTCCTGGAAAGTCTTTTGAAAACAAAGAATAAGACTAATTTTGTCTCACAGTTGCGTTATGATGATCTAATACTTCCCGACCGATGAGCCCGTATGAAGCTTTACAGTGAGTCTTCTCCACTCTCACCTGCTCTTAATGGATTCCACTCTGTTGGAAATAAGATATCTGCGAGAGGCAGCTCTCTTCTCCCTGGAGACTAATGCATTTGGAGAGTCCACGGTTCGAGTGGAACGCTATCGGACAGCGAGGAGGAATGGCCTCGTGGGGAGATATATTGATGTAGACGTTTTCCCAGCCCATTACCAGGGCGCCCGGCGCCCAAACGAACCTGTGGGGTGGATTCTGCTCCAGACGGCAGACGTGATCTAAATGAAAAGGGCCAAGTTTTTCCAGGACCACTGTCTATAAATCAAGCTCTGTGCAGCCACAGGCCCAAGCGGAGGTGTATAAATACGTTAATGTCTTTCCTCGGGCTAGCCTTCAGTTGGTGAGCTACATAAATGAAGTGAGGGGGTTATAAAAACAGCAGCCAGTCACATTTGTTGCTTACACTGCTAGCTGTCATGTTCATTTGCCAAAGTTTAAAATACCACAGTGGATCACAGTGTTAATGTGACTTTGGGCTAGCCATTGTTCGCTAGCCTCTTTAGGCTAATTTTGTAAGGCTTTTCTGAATTGAGTTTCATAGTTATTCGTAATGCAGTTTTTACTGTAAAAATAATGCCAGACTGCTACTGCTACACTCACATGGCATACGCTACTCCTCTCACTGAAACACATACCCAACACTGCTCATTCTTATGAGGAAATCCTGCACACACAGCAAACCTGACAGCTGTGTTAACCCCAACTCCACCCCAACATCCACCTATCAATGCTCCTCACT